TCCATTGCAAACATGCTGTTTAGGGTTAATAGAAGAGCTCTATAATTTTTTTCTCTGCAACCATTTGATTTTGGCCAGAGAAAAATAGCAAATGGAAGGCAGTTTGGGTAGGAAAAAAGGACAAATTTCAAAAATGATTTAGTTCTCACTGGTCTTTCCTGTTACTGACCGCCTCCGATAAATGTTAGGTTTTCTCCTAATGCCTCCCTGGATGTTTCCCCAGATTCTTCCTGAATTCAACGCTTACTCTGGCTAAGGTTTGACTATATAAGGATGATTATAAACAAACCGGATGCTGTAGATGTTTTCAAAGCTTTTATGGCTCATGATTATATCAATTATCTATACCATGTGATTCTAGCTATACAAATGTGCAATATATTGGGATTTGGGAAAAATTCAGAAGGAAAATCATATGACCTCCTACAGTCTGATCTTTTCCCCCACCGTTGCTATCATTTTCATTTCTCTTTTCCTTTGAAGGTGATCATGGCTATGAGAATAAAGATCCCAGTGAAAAATTCAAAGTGATCAGGCATGGAGGCGGGATGGACAAGGAACTGGAGATGCAACTAGAAAGTCATGAGAGAAGCCAGTCAAAGACTTGGAATCAGGAAAGCTTATCTTCCATGGATGCTGAGATGCAAGGCTTTCTTGCCCAAGAAGGAAAAATAAAGGAAAAGTATATTGGAAAAAGTGTAAGACTATTAAAAGACCAATTAGGTGTAAATGAACGAAAAGTATATTGGAAAAAGTGTAAGACTATTAAAAGACCAATTAGGTGTAAATGAACGAAAAGTATATTGGAAAAAGTGTAAGACTATTAAAAGACCAATTAGGTGTAAATGAACACTCTTCAACCCAAAGCAAACGAGAAGATTATATCTGCAGAGACAATGTAAAAAATCACAATTGGACTTTCACTGTTTCCTGTGAAAATGGGTCCCTTATGTCTCATAAAAGGATCCACACAGGGGAAAAACCATATAAATGTTTGGAATCTGGAAAGATTTTCAGAACAAGTTGTCAAGTTACTTCCCATGACAGGATCCACACAGGGGAGAAGCCATATAAATGGGTGGAGTCTAGAAATGCTTTTAGTGAAAACAGTCATCTTACTTCCCATCATAAAAGGATCCACACAGGAGAGAAACAATATAAATGCCTGGAGTGTGGAAAGAGCTTCAGAATGAGGAGTAACCTTATTGACCATAAATGGATCCACACAGGGGACAAGCCATATAAGTGCATGGAGTGTGGAAAGACCTTTACTCAGAAGGTTCATCTGAATTCCCATAAAAGGATCCACACAGGAGAGAAACAATATAAATGCCTGGAGTGTGGAAAGAGCTTCAGAATGAGGAGTAACCTTATTGCCCATAAAAGAATCCACACAGGGGAAAAACCATATAAATGCATGGAGTGTGGAAAGAGCTTTACTCAGAAGGCTCATCTGAATTCCCATAATAGGATCCACACAGGGGACAAGCCATATAAGTGCATGGAGTGTGGAAAGACCTTTACTCAGAAGGTTCATCTGAATTCCCATAAAAGGATCCACACAGGAGAGAAACCACATAAGTGCCTGGAGTGTGGAAAGAGCTTTAGAAGAAGCAGTTACCTTATTGCCCATAAATGGATCCACACAGGGGACAAGCCATGTTGGTGCCTGGAGTGTGGAAAGAGCTTTCATAGTAGGAGTGAACTTACTTCCCATAAAAGGATCCACACAGGGGAGAAGCCATATAAGTGCATGGAGTGTGGAAAGTCCTTTATTAGTAGGATTGAACTTACTTCCCATAAAAGGATCCACACAGGGGAGAAGCCATATAAGTGCATGGAGTGTGGAAAGTCCTTTATTAGTAGGATTGAACTTACTTCCCATAAAAGGATCCACACAGGGGAGAAGCCATATAAGTGCATGGAGTGTGGAAAGTCCTTTATTAGTAGGATTGAACTTACTTCCCATAAAAGGATCCATACAGGGGAGAAACCACATGAATGCTTGGAGTGTGGAAAGAGCTTTAGAATAACCAGTAACCTTATTGCCCATAAAAGGACCCACACAGGGGAAAAACCATATAAATGCATGGAGTGTGGAAGGAGCTTTACTCAGAAGGGTAATCTGAATTCCCATAATAGGATCCACACAGGGGAGAAACCATATAAATGCATGGAGTGTGGAAAGAGTTTTCGTCAAAACAGTACTCTTACTTCTCATCATAAAAGTATCCACACAGGTGAGAAGCCATATAAGTGCACTGAGTGTGGAAAGAGCTTTAGTACTAGATGGGGTCTTAATTCTCATAACGGGAGCCACACATGGGAGAAGCCATGTAAATGCTTGGAGTGTGGAAAGAGCTTCAGCACAAGCAGTCAACTTATTGTCCATAAGAGGACCCACACAGGGGAGAAGCCATATAAGTGCCTGGAGTGTGGAAAGAATTGTCATACTAGGAGTGATCTTACTTCCCATAAAAGGATCCACACAGGGGAGAAGCCATATAAGTGCCTGGAGTGTGGAAAGAGCTTCTGTGAAAATAGATACCTTATGAGACATAAAAAGATCCACACAGGGGAGAAGCCATATAAGTGCCTGGAGTGTGGAAAGAGCTTCTGTGAAAATAGATACCTTATGAGACATAAAAAGATCCACACAGGGGAGAAGCCATATAAGTGCCTGGAGTGTGGAAAGAGCTTTACTACTAGGATTGAACTTACTTCCCATAAATGGATCCACACAGGGGACAAGCCATGTAAGTGCCTGGAGTGTGGAAAGAGCTTTATTACTGGAAGTGAACTTACTTCCCATAAAAGGACCCACACAGGGGTAAAATCATATAAATGCATGGAGTGTGGAAAGAGCTTTACTCAGAAGGGTAATCTGAATTCC